TATTCAATTCACACACAGTTTCTGTTCATTTAATAATTGCATTTCGTTTACTGGGATGATCGATACCTTTATTACTTTGGAGCGATTATGTAAAGAAATTATTTCTTAAAAGTATCTTATTAGGCTAAAGTAATTAAAATCTTTTCATTACACGATATAAATCGTCGTGTACGATTCATGCCAGATTCCTGCACCAACTGGAAAGATAAATTATTTTGTAACTATATGTTTTTTAAGACTGACGCATGATCTTTCATGTAATACTTAGAAATCATACATAGTTAATACCATATTCTTAGATAATCCTGAAAAGAAATTATTTTTTAAGAGTTTCTAATCAGCAATATCTTTTCATTGCGATATAAATCATCGTGTACGATTCATGTCAGATTCTTGTATCAACTTGGAAAATAAATTATTCCGTAAATATGTCTCTTAATACTGATAAATAATCTTTCATGAAATATATAATTCAGAATATATAATTAATACCATATTCTTAGATAATTCTATAAAGAAACTACTTTTTAAAAGTTTTTTTTAATGAGATTCATGTACAAATTATATAAGATTTTTATATGATCATGTACGTTCATTTAGTAATCTTGATTGATCACATACAACTCTTTTAAGATCTAGTAGAAAAAACTTATAAGAATTTTCAACAGGGATGCCACGAGGGGAAGACGATTTTGTTTATAGTTTTTTCATAGAACACGCGTTGGCCATTCTGACTGTGCACAAGCGTGTGATAAATAATTGTGCTGTTATCGATGGAAACAAAAACATTCGTGCCAATCAATATCGAAAAGGATTGGATGAAATTCATGAAATACAAAAAGATAGATCGTGGAAAATGATTTTTATAATATTTGATACGCTAATAGTTAAGGTCTGTGCTTCGATATGCTTACTGTAAAACCGAGCAAATGATATACGCTTTTGATCAGTGTTTCCTGTGGCTGATGTAATGATGATTATAATTTATAATATTCTTATATACTCGTACATAAATTCATACTTGGGAGGAAGATAACAAAACACGATTCTTCGTGCTTGACATTGTGTGATACACAGGCAAGAGGCCTAATGTAAGAAAAAGAAGAAGAAGAAATAAGAGTTTAAAGTCTATAACGCGGTCGATCTTAATAAATCATTTATTATTAGAGGAAAAGGTGATATTATGGCTAATGTATATATTGTGGCCTCTCTTAATTCTTCGCTATTACATAGCGAATCTTAATGATTACTTATGGAATTATTTGTTCAGTAACTCGCCGTTATATCGTGACGCTAATATACCAATATTCAATAACCAGCACTTATTATAACGCATTTTTACCTTCAAGTACTTCGAAACATTTCTGAGGTACATTTTAGCATTTAATTACACCTACTTCCTCATGTTTCTTAAACTTGAGCGTATTATCACACGAATATATGTATTTTTGAGTGTATTGCTATTTAATATTTTATTTGACTGCATATATTTCGAGTTATGCAAATTTCAATAATAGCATGGTATTTTGCTAATGTGGCCCTCTATAGGTATTAATTATTCACAACCTCTTTTTTTAAGTTTTCATATCAAAATAATTATTTGATAATCAATTATAGCTCTACTGTTAATTTTTAGTTTATATTACGTGTACATTTTTAACTGAGATTTTTAGTACTACAAATAAATGTATATATATTCACATAATTTCTGCATATAAGATGCTCAGTACTAAAAATCTCAGTGCTAAAAATGTACACGTAATATAAACTAAAAATTAACAGTAGAGCTATAATTGATTATCAAATAATTATTTTGATGTGAAAACTTCAAAAAAGAGGCTGTGTTTTACTTTTTTGTTAATTTTATGACCAAATACTGTTTTCTAAACAAAACTAATTTTTTAAGGCTATTTTTATGGTAGGCCACATTACCATCCATATTTATCTTTGAGTCATTATGCAATGTCGCCACATTTTTATCAAGTGTCCTAAATAATAAATATTTCGTAACTTTGAGTCCAGAACCGATTCAACAACGTTATAACGAATGTAATAGTCAGGTTTTAAACTTAAATATTAATTACACAGGCCCGCAAAAAAAAGTATCTTGTACTGGGGTGGAGACCCAGCTATTCTTATGTATTTTGAGTCACTGAATAAGAATCTGACATAAAAATAGAACAAATCCAGGACAAATTTTCAATCTAGAGCAAAAAAATGGGTCAAAAACCTCGAAATCTGCTTTTATTGATACATTCTAAGATCATTGGCAAAAACTTGTGATTAAACCTAGACCATAGGTTTCCCGAGTTGAGAAATACTTTTCAGCCGTCTATACACCGTATCTACGTCCTCTACACCTCTTGCATAACTTCTAACAATGAACTCTGAGTGCCTCACATTATAGACACAGATTAAACCCAATAATTCCCGAGGAGTTACACCACAGACAAACTTTCAGACAAGCAGCCATCAGACACAATAACTGCCCGTACATCATATCTGTACTGTTGTATATCTATACTGTCATATTATATGTTGTCATATCTATACTGTGAATATCTAAAAAATGATCGATTTAGGTTCGTGCGCGCTCCCGCACTCTTTTGTCTTCAAATAACCTGTGTAATGGATTCCTCTTGCGTTTGTTTTTTTTCGCCGGTATTTCTCTCTTCAGTGTCCAAAAGTCAGCCATCATATTGATGTCCCATCTTCCTTGATACCATCTTTCCATTTCTTTTATGTCTTGGTGGAATCGTTCACCTTGCTCTTCACTGAAGTCCCCAAGGGTTTCAAGAAAGTAATCAAGGTGTGAATGGAGGAAATGTATTTTCAAATTCATGAGACAGCCTAATTTGCGGAAATTTTCTAGTATATTAGCACGATGTTTTTGTAGTTTTCGCTTTTCTTACCTAAAAATTTGTCTATAACTTCTTTAAAGCTAATCCATGCTGCCTTCTTGTCAGTCATTTTAGTAACATAAGATTCATCTTTCAACAGTGTACGAATTTATAGTCCGTCGAAAATTCCCTCTTTGAACTTAGCTTCAGACATTTGGCTGAATGTTTGTTTCAAATATTCATAGCATCGTCCTTCTTTGTCAAGATCTTTGACGAATTGTTTCATCAAACCTAGTTTAATGTGAAGGGGAGGGAGAAAAATTTTTGAAGGCTCAACCAATGATTGGTTTTTAATGTTTATCGAACCAGGTTCTAATAATGATCTTGTTGGCCACTTTTCTTTTTTATAATGATTTTCCCGGTCTCTATCCCACTGACAGAAAATACGGATACTTGGTAAAGCCAGGTTGTTTTGTTTGTTAGAATCATAGACAATATTTTGAAATCTCCGCAAATTTGCTATTTATGTTCCTCATACTTAATTTTTTTTTAAAACCATTTCTATATTTGAATACTCTTCTTTCAGTACCGGGAAAGGTACTGGTCTAGGTTTAATCACAAGTTTTTGCCAATGGTCTTAAAATATATCAATAAAAGCAGATTTCGAGGTTTTTGACCCATTTACTTGCTCTAAATTGAAAATTTGCCCTGGATGGTTCTATTTTTATATCAGATTCGTATTCAGCGACTCAAAATACATAAGAATAGCTGGGTCTCCACCCCAGTACAGGATACTTTTTGTGGGCCTGTGTTATTAACCAAGTTATTGTGTAAAATATAACTGGGGTGCTATAATACCACCCCTTCTCCTCTATAAATAATATATTCTTTCGTAGCTTAATTCAATTACATTAAGAAATTGTTCAAAAACATAAGCTTAAGTGTGTCTTTTCTTGAATTATCTTATAATAAATAAACCTATAATTCGAAACATTTATTAACATTATAAACATTATAAACATTATATAGCAATTACTAAAAATAAGTCTTAAAAATATTTATATTCTGTATTTTAAAGGATCTCCGAACAAAGAAAATTGTGATATATTTACTTTGTGTCGAAAAATCTTTAAATATATAAAAAAATTTAATATACTCAATATTTAATTCGTATTGTCAATATTTCAATTCAACATTGTTGTTAAATAGATGCACTGCTGTACATTTTGCATGTAACTAAATATTTTTTGTGCTGTTTTTTATTAATGCATAATAATTGCAAAAATATTATTATCAACATGGAAGAATTATCGCAGACATAATTTGATACACTAGTCAAAAAACTATTTTTCAAATATTAGAATCAGTTGAAATATTTATATATTATTCAGTATAAAGGCGTCTCCAGATATGGTTGACGTTCGTCAATATTAGCAAATATCATACACACACATGATAGGTATACGTAATTATCCATATTGAATGTAAGCCAATATTTAGCGAATATGTGCAAAATTAACGTATACATTAGCTATGCCGTCTGAAAACGCTTTTAGAATTATAATTTTAAATTGAAAAGAAACAGAAAAATTATTAATTTTAGAGTTATCACTATTAGAATATATATAACCTAGTAATGACTGTATAATGACAAACAATATAAAAATTTAAACAATATAAACATTTTTAACGTCAAACTTAAAATAAATGCAGTGCATTGATAAGGTAAATAATACTTTATTACTTTATTACTTTATACATATATATATATAAATACTTTATTGCCTTTTATAGAAGAATCTCTTACTAAGATGTGTAAATAAAACATTAAGAATCTAGAATATTATAATATAATATCATAATTTTTTTTTGTTCAAGGGAAGAAATCTTTCAAAAATGACTCGACATCTAAGTTCGGAAACAAAAATTTGTATTGCTCTTTGATATACATTATTGACTAATTTTGTAATAATATTTACTGTTAGTTCAAATTAAAGTATGTAATAGACATTGACATATATGGAATATTACGGTTATTATATAAAGAAAGATCAATTTTTGAAAATTCTGTACAGAAATGAAGAAAAAATATCTTTGATATCTCTTCTCTCAAATATTTCTTAAATATTTTTTAAAACTAGATATATTTTTGATCAAGAATGCATATATCTTGTCTGACTTTTTTTAGCTTACAACTAGTTCGATTCCGGTATCTGTACTTCGGAGAACATAGGATGGGTTCCGTCACCTTTGTTTAATACAATACTTTTTATAAGATTATTGGACGGATATTTAAGATCATATGCTTGTCCTAATTTCGCGCAAATATCAATGAACATGGTGGTGTAATTAAATCTATTATTTCCTTTTTCCGATGATCTGTAATCCCATGGGAACACGTGGTGGAAGTTGTGATAACCTTCTCCTGTCAGAAAATTAATAAAATCGTTGTCTGACGGTTTTATGTTCCTGAAAACAAAAGCTATATTAATTCGTGCTTATAATTATATTAAAAATCCTTGAGACCAATAAAAATGCATCCATTTTCTCTCGAATATTAATCCCTAAACGCCTTTTTGACATAGCATATTCGGCTTTTTTTCTATTGCTTTTTTCAATATTTTTTCCATTGCTTATCGTCTTTTTATTAATAAGCCCACACAACACACTTTATCCAAGGAGAACATTTTTGAAACATCCTTAGAACGTAGGATGTTCTTTGGATGTCTTTAGAGACAGTTTTTAGAGGTCTGTGTTGTATGGGAAGCTATACATATATTTGCTTGGTTACTTGCTACCGTTATGTTTTTTAATATCTCACATTACAATTTAAAAAAATATTTTACGATATGTTCATTTTTATGAAAAGTATGAGCAATCGAATTGAGTTGAGTATAGCATATACCAGTTATTATATATTTATCATAGTGAGAGGTATTTAAGGATTAATTATTTTGTCGTAAGACAATTATTCGCTAGCGGAATAAATTCATTAAAATCATGAAAATTTATGATTCATTTTTTGTCTCATGTGATAAGAATTTAATCTGAATTTTTATTTATGTAAAAATGCAAATTCTAAATTATATCGTGATTACACATTCAAATTACACACTTATCGTATGGTTTAGTGCCCCACACATGAGCAATGCTATTAATAGACCACACGGCATTCAAGGTAATCATGTATCTTATGAATATTTGCGATACAATAGCTCTGTTCCATGTCTCATTCCATAGATAAATAGGTACTGCCGTAGGTAGGATAAAACCAAAAAAAAGTTGAAGAAGCAAGAAGTACCTACAAAAATGCAATTTTAATTTTTCGGATTTTATTTAAGCACGATATACCGCCTACTTGTTTCAATAGCGATGCAACTAAAAAAAAATATCATTTTTTAGTTACTTACAGGAGAAAAGAAAAAGAAAAAAAAGAATATTTTAAAAGAATATGATTTTATTCCTCTGTAATCAATTATTATTACATCAAAATTGCGTTTTAAAATAATATTACAAAGTTTTAATGATTCAACGCATTCAATTTTGTTTTCTGAAAAACTTTTTTTTTTAGTTGTATCGTTGCTGTGGCAAATAAATAATATATTTATACAGTCGAATCTTGATAATTCGAATCTCAAGGGAAGAGCTAAAATCTTTGAGTCATAGAGGTTTCGACTTATCGAATTTTTTAGTAAAAGAGGATTAGCATATGAAAATTCGACTTACAGAAAGCTTTATACGAGAGTAGTTCTGTAGTAATAGATTAAACAAAAGCTAAAATGACAATATAAGTTATAAAAATCGAAATTTACGCGTTATAAACGACCTGTGCACCTGTTTGAGTAGGCAACTTTTATACTGATACGTTGATGCAACCCACCCTGCACATTCAATAGAATAAAGCAAAGTATTCGATCAAAAAATATAATAAATGCAAGCTTGCACATTACGGATATTTGCATATAATTATTCGCATTATTTGAGTTTTTTTATTTAAAAAATAATGAAATTGTATAAATAATGAATATATATATATATATATAACCTCTACAACTAATTAAATTTACCTTTCGCCAAAAATCACAACAGGATCTGACAAAATATCCGATAAATCGAGCTGTTTGCTCTTTTGAGTAAATTCCGGATGTTCTTTCATAAACACCCATCCTACATGCCCATAAAAGAAGCCACGTTGAGAAGTGTGAGGATCAGCATTAGTATCGCAATACTTATGGTGCATACGATGATTTTTCACCCAACTGCATATCGTACTCTAAAAGCGCAAACAATTAAAATATTATTTACACATGAATGTAAATAGCTGTGTTCAAAATATTATAGACATTAGCTGTTGGTCTGTTCTTTTTAATTGAACTTATTGCACAGTTCATTTTTCTTCTTTTTCTCTTTAACATGAAAAAAAGAAAATTTTAGTGGTACAAGAAAAGTTCAACTGAAAAAAATAGATTTTATGAATTCTGTGATAAAATTGGTTGATTTTTTTCTATAGAAAATTTAGAAGTTTATGTAACTTCTTGGCTCTGTATAATTTTTATGCTAATTAAGCATTTACATAAAATTTTGTTCATGTTAATAATTCACTTATCCGTTTTCATGTAAAAACTCTTTTATCAGATATTGTTTACTTTGATTCTTTCCTAAGGAAAGAAGACGCTTCGTGCACATATAATTTAGAATTATTTGATATATGGTAAATACAAGAAACGATGAAGTTACACATATACTTGTACTTTACATATAATATACGTAAAATAGCAAATAAAATTTATTGACGTTACCTGTGCAGATGTACTAAAGCATATCAAAAGTAGAATTCTTAACGGTAATTTTGCTCGATAGCACTTGTGAGACCAAAGTCGATGAGCGCCACCAGACACTCCAATATTGGATATGATATACATCGGAATTACTTAAAAATATGAAAAAATATATTTATGTTTATATATTTAACCAAGAAGTCAAGCAACGTGTGTGATACTTTTAAGATGTTTTACAAATATATTATATATACGTATATTTGAGAATATAAGACTAGGTTGTTCCACCTTTCGATAAACTTCAGCTCACTGTCTTACTCTCTTACTCTCTTATGCTCTTACTCGTTTTCTCTTTTGTTAATCCAATAGATAAATTATCACATAGTTTATCTGAAGATAGAACAACCGGCCCTAAGTATAATAAATATTTAAACATACACAGGAATTATTGAGAAAATTTTAAGGCTTTTAGTATATTGTTTTTTATAATGTTAATTGTGCTCGATAAATTATTAATAAAAAATACTGATTTAATTTAACTGAAAATCTAAATATATGAATATATAAATATACAAATATGGTAAAATAATCACAGATAACGAGTTCACGGTAAAAAATTACTTTGAATACAAAATATTTCTTATATAAAAGAATAATCAATTCAAGGCTCAGAAGAATAAATAAAAAATAATAAAACTATCAGCCTATATGAGCCAACACAAGATTTTAATGTAATACATAACAATTAAATACATAAAAGAACTGTAAACGTTTCGACCTATGGTTAAGATCCTGTTCAATACATTGTTTAGAACATTTACAGAGAAACGTTTTACAGTTCTTTTAAGTATTTAATTGTTATGTATCACATTAAAACCTTGTGTTGGCTCATATAGGCTGATAGTTTTATTATTTCTTATATATTTTTTGAAGTAGAAAATTATGTCACAAGCCAATGTTTACTAGCACGTCAGGTTTCTAAAATAATTGATATATAATATTAAAAATGACCTTTTATTATTTAATATATTTGTTATTTTTTAATGTATTGTTCTGGAAAAAACGGAAGTAGCAAAAATAAAGGTAGTAAATGTATTATCCATCTTTTATGTAAAATATATTTTTTAAATTTTATAATAATTTACTTTTAAAAGCCATATTACGAAATATTAAAATACAAGATTTTTATTTAAGACAATAAATTTTTCATTACCTAATAATTATTCCATTAATAATTGCAGTTGTTATTACCCAGCATTTTAGTCATTAAATAAAAATATTTCAATGTTTCGTTTATATTGCAGTATTAAACTCAAATATTTCGTAGAATTGAATTTGTGTTTATGATGTACACTATACTGAATAATTTTGCACAACTGCAATTTAATACTAAAGAATTAAATAATATTAACAGGTTTTAATTAACAGATTTTAAATCAATAGGTTTAATCCCACTAAATAGATATGAAAAATATAACGATTATATTGTATTATAGAATGATTTATTATGACATTAACAATATCTTTAACAATTTAAATTGTAAACTTAATAATTTCATCAGTATCTTTCGCAGCATAAAAAGATGTGATTGGAAAGAATTATTAACTTTAATTATTTTGAACTAATTTGAAAATTTGATTTTATTTAAAAGAGGCAGATATACTAATAGTTGAATGAGAAAAACTTCGAAAAGTTTTGGAAATCTCTTTTTTAAATTCCCCTAATATACAAAAGCGTAAAAGTACTTACTCCATATTGTAGTCATCAAATTTTCCAAGTAGTTGAAAGTCAGTAAACCATAAATGCCAATAGCGTGCAATAGAAAGACTTGGAGAGCAATAAACCATATTATATCAGTTTCGAACTTGAAAATACTTGGTTTTATCATTTCGGATTTTTTATTGATCACCGTTGCCATTAATTCTCATCAAATCTGTATCGAGTGTCACAAATTTTTTTGGAAGCAAAAAAATACAATTAATAAAATAAGATTACCGCACAATTAGAAGTAGCGCAATTCTCAATCAAAATCTTTGCTCAATTTTACTTTATTTATATAATTTATATAGTTACTAACTAGTACAACGAATTCTTGTGAATGTAATAATAAAACTTGTGCCTTGAGAATAATAATACTAATATTAGATATTTCGCATATCAATTTTATCGAATATCTATATAATTCTAAAGTTCACATTTATAATTTGCGTCTATCTATATTTGCGTAAGAATGGAATACTGTTTACATTTATAACTTCATATAATATATTTTTTATGTATAGGTACATTTAATTCTATATGTTACATATATATACATATATTTTTTATAACAAAAATTTTCATAAAAATTTGCAAAAATTCAAACAACATAAAAATTATATTGATAAATTTAAATAGAATTTTATTAAGAATTAAAAATGTTAGATGTATGTGTAGAAAATGTTATTTAATATTTTTTCACTATTTATTAAAGCAAAGATATTTATTTCCTGACTGTAATAATTGAAACAAAATCAATGTCGGAGAAATAGTGCATAATCAAAGTTGAAAACAGCATCCTCTCAATTATTGTTAAAAAAAACAAGATAATGGATTATACCTTGGCGAGGAATATCAAAAATGATTCGGATGAGATATTACATGTGCACTGATCGAGTAGTTGTGATTAAAGATTATTTTCTTCACACTTTATATACAAAGTGAATCAGAATAATTAAAGTTTTTTACCCTGTGAAAAAATTATACATCTTATCGACTTAACAATACAAAACTGATCTGTATCGCTAAATCGATAATTAAGTATAAGGTCAATAATTTTTTCGTAGGGTAAAAAATTGGTTCAATTACTTTGATTCACCCTGTATATATTATATTCTCATGTGACGTAAAAAAAGACAATTTTTCAAATCACTATTTTCTAAAACGACTGACATTCACAATGCTTTTGTCATAATGTAATTTTTCCGCATTTATATATCGCATATGTTCTCCAAATTTTAATGCCATTAAAAGACCGATATCATTTTATGTATGCATGTAATTTATCTATATTTCCACAACTTCCATATATTTACATATTAACTTTTTGAGCTTCATACAAACATGAATTGTTGCTATCATGCAGTAATATAAGAAATTATCTAATATTTTTTAAAAATAACAAAGTTATTTAGAAATTTACTATTATACATATATATTATATTTTAATTGTTTTATTGTATAATATATAGATTATAATAATTCTTTTTCTATTCTGTCTTCGTTTTAATACGTTTTGCAAATTTTATATAATTTTTAAAATATTCCATTGATTTTATAATTGCAAAATATTTCGCAAGTTATAATCTTGATTGCAATAAAATCTTTAAAAACACATTGTAACATAGATATCACTTATAGGAATTTTCGATATTATTTATTTCCGTAACAATGCCTTAAATAATTTAAATTGTAATACGACTTTAACAGATACATCATTATTACCTAAAAGCTTGTTAAAATACAATTTATTAAAGTATGGATTTATATTATGTGGATTTATTAATAAAAAAAATAATAAGCATTGAAAAAGCAACAGAAAAATATCCGGATATGCCATATCAAAAAGGCGTTTAGAGATTAACATATTCGTGAGAAAATGGATGCATTCTTATTGAACTCAAAAACTTTGACAACAATTGTAAGTAGGAATTAATACAGCTCTTGTTTTCAGAAACATAAAACTGTCAAATATATATATATATATATATATATAACAATTTTGTTAACTTTCTGACAATAGGAGAAAATTATCACAATTTCCACAATATGTTCCCATGAAATTACAGATTTAATTACCATCTTTTTTATCGATATTTGCGTGAAATTAGGATAAACCTATTTGATCTTAAATATCCATGGCGGATCTCACAAAAAATATTGTATTAAATAGAGCTGTCGGGACTCATCCTATATTGTCCGAAGTATCGAGATCGGAATCCGACTAATTGTAAGTTAAACAAAATCAGACAAGACATGTATGCATCGAATTTTGATCAAAGATATATCCATGTAATTTTCAGAATTGTTTCTTTCTTTTTTAAAATGCAATTATCTTAATAAAATGTAAATTGTTATATATAGTAAAACCTCGATTATTCGACTTGTTGTGACTCAGAATTAGGTCGAATAATAAAAAAATCGGATATATATATATAATATATATACATATAACCGGTGTTATATTTTATATTTGGTAATTATTTAGAATACGCACACGTTTTAGTGTAAAACTGAAAATAAGAGGAATAATCTCCAAAACCTTGATCTTAACTAATGTTATTAAGGTCATGACCCTGAACAACATTTAGGAAGTTTCAACCAACAGTTGGACACCTCAGATAATAATTCTCTCTAACGCCAACGGTACTATAACATTCAAGCTTTATAACTGAAAAAGTACTTAATGAAGAAATATTTTGTTAAAGTGTTTTGAAGAGCTCTCGAGATAAGCTACAAAATTATGCAATGAAAAACGGAGATTTTCATTTTAAAAAAATTGATGTGACCTTAATCCGACCTTGGCGATGCCACCCAAGATCAAACTGATAAAACTGGTGATAGACCTTTTTAATTTCTACAATTCTCATATGAAACAGTTTTTTTATGAAACTTATATTTTTCGAGATATTTTAGGGACCCAGTATTTTTTCTTCACATCG